CTGGGGTCTATAAGAGAAAGGAGAGGGAAAATTGGGCACAGAGGAGACATGGGGAAGGATGCCATGTGAAATCGAAGGCAGAGATTGGAGTGATGCTTTAACAAGCCAAGGAACACCAAGGGTCGCCAACAGCCATCAGAAGCTGGATGGAGAGCCTGGAACAGATTCTTCTGCAAAACCTTCAAAAGAAGCCCTTCTCACCAGAAGCTGGATCTCATACTTCTGGCCTCCTCAACTATGAAACAATAAATTTCTCTTGGTTTAAACCACCCAGTTAGTGATGCTTTGTTACAATAGTCCTAGGAAATGAAGACACTCAGGAAGGACTAAAAGGAATAACTCAAAGGAACACAGAAGTGGAGTGTCCCAGCCACAGAACTGTCATCTTGCCCAACCCTGGCCCTGGCTTCCTTCTGGGCCAGGATCCCGTGTCACTGTGGAAGAGGGTGCTCCATTACACTCAGGCCTGACTAGATGCCTCTAGTTCAGGACCAAGAGAGAAAAGCATAGAGAGATGTTTCTTCCATCTCTATCCGAGGCCTAAGAAGAAAATCTATGTTCCTGACCCTGTATGCTGTTTATCTTAGGATGCTGACACTGGGAATATTTGTTCCTTTCAGAGAACATCTTGTCCCTCCCTATAAGGGATGAGTCCAAACATAATGATCTACCATCACTATACACAAGCATCAGGAAAGGGCAGGTTATGTGGCCCTTCTCTGAGCTCTCAAAGCACCCAGTGCTATCCTGACATTACACATTATTCTGGAAGAGCATATTAAACTTGAAGTCCAGGAAGAAAGGAATTTTTTTTTTTTTTTTGGTCTCATCCAGTGTTCTATCCCTGGAAACTACACAGAAGTTGATACCTAGCAAGATCTCAGTAAGTATTTACAGATGAGGCAGCTAGGGCCTAGTTAGGTCTGGTGATGCATTAAAGATCATAGACTGTTGATGACCGAGCCGGGATGCCTGCCCAGGGCCTTTCCTATTCTTACCCTCACTTTAGCTAATCCTGCTTAGCTGAGCAAAGCAGTGGGTAGAACCCAGACTTCTCTTGCCTGAATTACTACAAAACCCTTCTTTCTGGTCTCCCTGCACTATATCTTCAAATAGGTTCTAAATCGTAAATCATACACGCATGCATTTTCTCTCTCTGTCTCTCTCTCTGTCTCTGTCTCTCTCTCTCTCTCTCTCTCTCTCTCTCACACACACACACACACGCACGCACGCGCGCACGCGCACGCACACACACACACACTCATGTAGAAAGATGCTCTTATCAAATGAGTGAATAGTTTCCTATTATCACAGAACACATGGCACACTTAACACAGCTAATTAAAGCATCCCAAGTGTGACCTTATGCACTTCAAGTCCCAAGCACAGCCCTCTGTTTCTCTTATCTCTTTCTCATCTGTCTTATTTACTCAAAACACTTCCACTCCTTCTCTGGGATCCAGTTCAAAATCATCCACCTTGATAAGATGTTCTTTGACACTCTCACTTGGGCCAGGTTTCCAGTATTCCATAGCAATAGGTCATTTCTGCCTCTCAGACAAGTTCTGATCAAAGCATCGCACCCTGATTTCCAGACAGGAAGGTCTCTCCCTCTAGTGACAGAATAGTACACTCCTCAGGTTCAAGGCTTTGTGACGCTCAGGTCCATCCTCTAGCATAGGACTTGGCACAGAGCAGGGGCCCTGTAGGACTTTGTGTGGAGTTGGTTAGTCAATCAGACACTGAGGCCACTAAGACAGATTTCCCCCAAAAAAGTGGTCAAACCTCTGTGCTTGCCCGCCCTTCCTTCCTTCCTTCCTTCCTTCCTTCCTTCCTTCCTTCCTTCCTTCCTTCCTTATCTAAGTTGCTCCAACTGCCCATCCTGCCTCAGCCTCCTAAGTAGCCAACACTATAGGTAAGTGTCTCAGTGCCCAGCTCTCCTGTGCACTTTCTGCATCTGGAATTTCCAGGATATGCATGAGTGTTGTTTCACTGTGGTCTTTTTCTCTGTGCTATCTCAGTCCAGCAGCGGGCTTCCAGACATCACAGAATCCATTCCAAGAATGGCCAGAACCCAACTGGAAGGCAGCCCTACGTGCTACTCCACAAGTATCTTGAAGGTCCAGAAGTTCCACTCGGAGAAGGAGATTTAATAAGTCCCAAGAACAGATGCTCCTGCACCTAGACTCCAGGACAGAGCCATGTGAGGGGAAAGATGAGTTGCAATATGCAGCAGATGTGCCCCCCTTCCCCTTGCCCAAATTCTTTTCCAGGCAACCCCACCCCACCCCACCCAGGAAAGTCCAGACAAGATATAGAAAAGGAAACAGAGAAGCTATTTTAGAATCTGACACTTAGTTGGCAGATGACTCTACTTAAACTTTTCTGTGCTGAAGAAGCATGTAGAGTGCTCTTTAAAATGCAAATACCTGGCCCCACCCCTCAAGAATGTAACTGAATAGATCAGGATGGTCTAGGAGTCTGCTTTAAAAAGAAAAAGACAAAATAAAAAATCTGCCAAACCTCCTTGGTAATGCCAATACAAGTAATCCTCAAACCACACTTTTGACAAACTCTGGTGAAGGGCTTTCCTGGCCCTAGCTGGGACCCAACTTCCTTTTCTCTCTCCCAACTACAGCCTTATGGAAGCTAGATGTCTGTAGAGATCCTGGGAAGAGAGGATAACCCTGGAGTCCCAGAATGACAGCTTGCAAAGACCCCAGGAGGCCAGCCCACATTAGGATTCTACTAAACAGAAGGGTCAGGCCTGTACAGTGTGGATCCAGAGGTCAGGTGACGGCCCTGGCAGAAGTCACAGGAAGCTGATATGAACTCCATGTGAGGAATAATTTTATGGCAAATCTTGTGTGTCACTCCCAGCTTAAGGTCTAGCAGGAGCGCTCCCACAAGCCATGGACAGCTAAATCCCCAGTAAGCTACAGGGCCCTTCAGAATCCAGACCCTGCTTCCTTCTCTGGTCTCTTCTTACAGCACCCCTCTTCCAAAACTGCACCTGCCCCAATTTTCCCATGCTGACCCCTCTTAGTTCCCCAAGCATGCCAGGCCCTCAAGATCTGTTAACCTTCCTTAATTGCCTATCTACTCCAAGATTTCCCCTATTCCGATAAGTTTTCCTGGCCTATCTTTTCCCTACTCTTAGCTTAGTCAATTTCTAGTCACAGTTTAGAAGTCCCTAGTGCCCACAACTAAATGTTCCCTAATCCCCACAACTAAATGAAGTGCCTCTGTTCTCTGTTCCCTCTATACCCCATATAAAAATTGCTCTGACCCCCATCCCCAGCTCTGATGTACTCCCTGTACAAGAAATATTTACTGAGTTGAACTGTTGAATTATAATGCTGTTTACTTACTGTTGCCCCAAGAAGTTAAGTCCTCCAAGCCCCATAGGCTGGTACTTAGTAATTGCTCAATAAATTTCTGAAAATGAAAGCATGCAGTGCCCAGACATAAAATGAAATAGTCCACATTGAAAGGAACTGAATCCCCATTGTGATGGTTTTTCATTCATATAGAGACTGACCCAGGCCCTGTCAGAGACCTTGGGGGTGAGCTAATTTAAAGAACGCTGGAAGTGCCCCATGGTCCCTCTGACATGAAGATTATAGGGCAATGACTCTGGCTGGGGTCTGAAGCTATCTGTTTGATAGCTTCTAAGGCCTGTTGAAGCGATCACTTGATGTCAATTTGGTTCACAGCAGTTCACGTTCAGGGAATTCATTACAAAGCAGCAACAGGCATGGGGGGGGGGGGGGACAGGTCACCCAGGTTCTCTTGGCCTCCAATCTTTAGGCAGTTTCTGTCTTATTCTTCTCAGCACTCCTGGGAATTGCCAGAATTGTCTGGCTTCCCTGAGCATAGAGGCCTCACCAGCATTGAGGTAGAGCCAGTTTCCTGAGCACTAACTACCTGGATGTCTTTTGGGTACAACACTCTGCAGCTGACGTTACCTGGTTGTACTCAAAGCCTACTGTATGCCAGGTTCCAGTGAGCAGGACAGATATAATCTGACTTTCCCCAGCTCACTTGGGCTTGGCCTCATAGGCCATCAAGATGGGGGCAGATCAGGTTTCCAGGCTGGGCCTATCATGGTGAGGGATTTACCAGCTAAGCAGAAGGCCAAATGTAGGACAAGCCAGGAACTTAGACAATCAATGTTCTGAGTCCCAGGCAGGTAGCACTCAGAGCTGCTGGGGAGGGTGCTTGGCTTTCTGTAGTCTACCCCTGAAGCACAAATCTTTCAGAATGTATTCACAGTCTGCAAGAGTATAATTATTGAATTATAATACTGTTTAACTACTCTAGCCCCATGAAGCTAAGTCCTCTAAGCCCTATAAGCTGGAACTTAGTAGCTGCTCAATAAATGTCTAACAATGAAGTAATGGCAGTACCTTGTCTATACTTTGGAGAATACAGCAGGGCCTAATCTATACTTTGGAGACCCAGAGTACAGACAGGCCCATGCCAGCTCTTCCTCATCTCCCTCACTACAAGGAATGAGCCTCAGGATCCCATATCTTTGAGGTCAAAGAGTCCAGGAATGCAGCAACCAAGATGCTACTATTTAGTTATGTGGTCTTGAGCAAGTCCCTTTCCCTCTCTGAAATTCCTCCTCTGTATATGAGGGAATGATTACACTAGTGTTTCCTCACATTGGCTATGAATCAGAATCATCTGGGTGGCAGCAAGACAAAAGAATTTGGAGAAAAAAAAAAAAAAGAGAGATTACTAGGTCCCATCCCAAAGCTCCTAAAAGAATATGAATCCCACAGAAAACAGGGTAGAGAGGCCTACTCAAGTCCTGTTCTCCAACCTCAGCCCCAGTCAGGGAGCCTCTGGAACCCCTTCATGCCTCCCCTTGTCCCCCAGGAAGCTCCTTGGCATACGATGTTCTCGGCCATCTCTTTCCAATTTCTCAGCCTCCTTGGGCCAGGACTGGAGTAAGCTGCACCACCCTCTCCAAAGAGCTCTGGAGCCTGAAACACTGGTCAGTGAGCAGTTTATTACCCATCAACCTGTCCCCAGCCTCACAGCACCATAGCCTGCACACAAGCTGGACATCATCTCCACCTGTCAGTTCTGGCACCCAGCCTCGGTCTCCACCCCCTTCCTCTGCCCTCTACACAATCCCTCCCCCAGTCCTTCAAGGCAGCACCAGGCCTGGGGGCCACACCTCATTTGGTGGGAGAGGAGGGGAGACAGGCAGAAGCTGGGGAAAAAGAAACTAGAGTTGGCCCAAAGCTTCTGGAGCCAGCATCCAGGTAGAAGGGGAAGCAGGCAGGGCTGAGACTTGGGCTGGGTTTGCCAGGTGGTGGTTCAGGCAGGAGGCTCTTCTCCAGGAGGTGCAGGGAAGCCACTCAGGTCTCGGCCAATGATCTCACTCACTGTAAAGGAGGGGCAGTTGAGAGACTGGCCTGGGGCAAGCCCAGAGATCCCCAATCCATTCTAGGCAGGCCTTGGGCTAGAACATCTCTAGGTTCCTTTTCCACTGGCTTCTCTTTCACTGAGCCTAGGTTTCCCCAATGTGTCTTGACACCCACTCCTAACCAAATCTTGCCCAAATTCATCCATGTGGACTCCCAGGCCCCCATCCCAGCCTATTCCTGCTGGCATGTCAGGGCCATCAGTGTCAGTGGGCATAGCCAGTGGGGGAGAGAAGAGGCAAAGCACAAAGGTCCCTCATCATCAATGCCAACCACAGTCACCATGCTGGGGGAAGGCTGAGGCAAGGAAAAACTGCGCTTGACTAGGACCTCAGCAAGCCACTGTCCCCAACCCCCAGAACTGCAAATTCAGAGAGAAATGAGATGGCTTTGAAAAATACTTCTTGCTTTGAGATTTTGTGATTTGGGCAGAGGCAGGTAAAAGGCTGGGACAGGAACTCCATGCAATCTTCAGAATAAGCTAACTGAATTCAAGTGGTCACACACACCAAGATCTTATTCCTGGGGCCTTCCAACTGGCTCTGAGAGATCAGGAATGCCCAAACTCTGCAAAGCCAAGCTCCAGCCCTCAGCAAACATGCAGAGCAATCTCTCGCACCCACTCACACTCACATTCCCCGGTCCCACACCCACCTTCCTCCAGCGTGATACCCTGGATAGGGACACTGTCTCGGAAGCCGCTGCTGTAGCCACCCCTGGATTTCTCCTGCTCCGGAGCCCCCTCCCCAGGGCCATAGCCTGGCCCTACCTCATTGTATCCCTCAGCGGGTAGGGAATGAACACTACTTTGGGTAGAGAAGGGGCCTTCAAGTGGTGGGGATGAAGGTAGTGGAGGCCGAAAGGGGGCTGGAGGAGAGAATGAAAGTCCCAGGGGAAAAGAGGAGCCCCGTGCTCCATATGGGTCACTAGGGAAGGGGCGGGGAAGGAAGGAGACTGGAGGTGGGCGGGCACAACCTGTGGTACCCCGAGATTCAGGGAACATCCGCAGGCCTGATCTGTAAGATGGTGGGGGCCCTGTCTGTGGGTACATAGGGGGCGTGCCATAGCCAAAACCTTCTGACAGGTAAGGATTTTCATAAGCAGGGTCTTCATGGGGATAGGAGGGGTAGGGGGGCCTGGGTGGTGAGAAGTCCATGTCAGTGCCAAAAGGGGGGCCCGATGCTGAAGGGAAGCCCCGGAGAGATGAGTCTGGTAGGGGCTCCTCCTTGAAGATCACTGGGAAGATGGGAAGCAGGAGGACATGCTGGTGAGAGTCTGTCAATGTCCCCTCTGCACACCTTCCAATCACCTTCCCTTCTCAGGTTTCATTCATCCCTTGACCCCTCAGGATGGGGCACTATATCCCTCTACCCCCATGCCTCAGCCCCCACCATAGCTGTCCTACAGCATACCAGGCAGGAACTTGAAACTCTGGGTAGGACTGCGCTTCCTCCGCCCATTGGAGACATAAAAGTAGACCTGGACTGGCCGGGACACACGCTTGTTGCTGTACTCAGGGACAGTCAGGGTCAGTGTCACCTGGAAAAGAGCAGAAGATGAGGCAAGGGCCCTCAAGGATCTGGGCTCTGCCCAGCCCTTCTAAGGACCCAAACCTCACCTCCTAGTTTTTTCCACTTGCTGAGGAGCAAAGTTCATTCCCTAGAGATGAACCTGCTTCCAGAGTGGCCAGACTCCTCCAGGAAAGAATACGTAGCTCTGGAATCCACTCCCATGGCCAAGGGACCCACTTGAGAATTTCCTGAATTCTCCCACCCTACAGCCTCCAGGATGGGTTCCCCAGTGATACTGGTACCTCATTGCTCTGCAATCGGTTCACTGTGGCCTCCTCCTCCCATTGCAGCTTTCCATCTGTGCAAGGGGAACAGAGAGCTCCAGCCCAACTCCAGGCCCCTGCCCCTGCCCTAGTCCCCTACCCTTTCCCCTTCTACTGGAGCCAAGACCAAATCCAGAAGGTTTTTAGAAGGTCTGGCACAAAAGAGGCCATTTTGTGTTTACTCAACTGAATGGTTTAAAAACTTCCCTAAGATTCAGGGAAATAAACTAAGATCAGAGGGGATCACACGACCAGCAAAGGGACTAGAACGAGTTAGTGACAGAAGCAACTCTGGAAACCTCCCACCCAAGTCCAAACATTCTCTCCCATGCTGAGAGGGGATGTCAGCATTGAGGAAGGCAGAGAGACCCCCAAGTCTCATGAACAGAACCTCTGAAGATGCTCTAACATTGTCCCAGGGTGCTAAATGTGGGTCTAGGGGCTGAGATTCTTGGTGAGCATGACTGAGGTTGGGGAAAGGCCTCAGGCTGGTGGTTGTATCTGAAACCCTCAGTCTTTCGTTTCTTCACACTGAGCTCCACTTGGGACACATCATAGGCTCTTACAATTGTAACTGTGCTTATGTCCCATAACTCAGGAAGAGCTCTGGAGAAGCTGTGAGGGTGAGTTATCCCTTCTCTTTATTTACTATATCTATATGGGGGTAAATCATCTTAAAGCTGGCTCCTCTTTAATAAACAGGATGTATATTTCTTATATTTACTCAGCATTCTCAATGTTTTAGATTGCTACCCATCTCCCCATGGGAAGCAGACAGTACAGTGGTGGGGTTGGGAGAATCTGTCCCATTCAACAGATAAAGAAACTAAGGCTCAATCAACTAGCTTAGTGACAATGCCAGAGATCTTTCACCACCAGTTACAAGCTCTTCCTGCTTACTCTCCCCTCCCAGGTGGGTACTCACCAGGGCCCCTCTCAATGAACACCACCTTGGAGTCCGGCAGGAAGTTGGAGCCAGTCAGTACTAGTTCCTCGCCTCCTCTCACTGAGCAAGCACTGGGACTGTAGGCTTCCACCTGGGGCAGCTCCTGGGCTGAGCGCTGGGCTGCAGAGCAGTGCAAGGAAGAAGCCTGGCTGGGGTAGGTGTGAAGGCCTCCTCTGCCCCAACCCTCTTTGGAATACATGCCACCAGACCTGGGGAGCCATCCTCAGTGGCAGACACACAGTAAATCAAAAGTATCCATGAGATACTTTTCCATTGTACTTATCCATTATAAGGGACCACTCCTGGAGCTGAAAGAGGTGAACAGGGTAAGCTAGGGAGTTACCCAAACAAGTGCACAGGCCATTCTAGAGGAAGATGGGGTGCAGAGTCACTTTAGGTCAGCCCGGAGACAGAGTCCATAGCAAAGGCAAACGAGAACACCATCCTTACCACTCCCACATCCGTTGAAAAGAGTCTCTAAGAGCAACCAGGACAGAAAGGACACAGGAAATAGGTGGCAGCAAACACACAGTCATAAGAGACAGAGAAATAGCCAAGGCCTCTTTGCTCACAGCACTCAATGGGCACCGATGCTGCCTGCACCGAGACGACCTTGCCTCCGCCCTGTGGCACGTGCACCCGAAACACCAGTCGCACACGCGTGTTTTTGCGTCCGATGTCTGTCTCACCCTTCCGCAGCTCAATGTCTGAATTCCGAAGCTTCAAGATTCCAGCACAGTCAATGCTGAGGGCAGAAGATAGATGGCCAACCTTTCTAGCTAAAGCTAGGAGGGAAGCCCCTGCTCTCCATCCAAAGCCTTGTGACCTTCTAAGGGTATCTAGGGGGACTATTTTCTAACCCAGAGATGTCCTCTCCAGAGTGCTTCCCAGACCCCAAATCTAGAAAGATGATAGAAGGCTAGAAACCAGCTCTTAGGGATAATGTCTATCTCCTCTGGGAAGAGAAAGAAGTAGGCCTCACTGGTCCTAAATCCTGCAAATTGAGAGGAAGTTGAGTGGGGACTTACTTTGCAGCCATGTTGTTCTCAGGGAGCAGGGTCATCTCCAATACTTTGGTACCACTGACGACAGCTTCATAGCTGGCAGTGGCTACCATCTTCCCAGTAATGCGGTGCACCTGATAGAATGCATGAGGCCTCAAGTTCCTTTCATCTGCAGTGCCAATGAACATCTGTAGGGTCAGTGGCTTCTCACTGTAGCCTAGGAGCTGGCAGAGGGAAACAGGCCACCTAACTGGAGGTCCCACTGTCCACTGTCTCATCCTTTATCCACCCCTGGATTTTTAGTTCACTAGGGGTTAGGGACAATAAAAGATAAAGGATATCCTGGAAGGGATCCCCTGGGGGAACTGGGCACCAGTTGTGGAGAAAACGTGGCCTGGAGTTCAGTGTTATTCTTGGAATAAGACCTAAACTGGGCTGGGCAAAAAGAGGAAGAGATTCCAAGAGAGACTGGCCCAACTCAATATAGAGAAAACCTAAGGCCCAGTGACCTTTGGCCTCAGCTGAACCCCTCCCCCACATCTGGCAAGCCACCATTTTCCAGACTAGACATGAAGCCAGTGTCCCAAGGGATGAGTTGAGTGGGGGTGGGAAGACAGAAAAGTAGAGAGTATATCCGGGTCCTTGAAGTGCACCCCTCCTCCCCCAACTCCAGCCCCTCCCCCAAGCTGCCTGCCGGGTCAGAGCTGAGAGGGAGTGTGGGAAAGGGCAGTGCCATGGGTCTGTACTGCTAGGGCCCATCTGCAGAGCTGTGAGATGAAAGAGGAAAAAGGATATCAGAACTGCCCTCTGCCCCTTACCTTGACTACAGGGTGACCACCAGGAGCAGCTTTGACAGCTCCCCGGCTGCCCTCTGTCTCATAGTGGGCCCTGTGGTGGGCTCTAGGCTGCACCTCGATCCTCAGCTCCAGCTGCTCATACTGGCTGGGCAGAGGCCAGTCCAGAGGGGGTAGGGCAGAGGTCCTAGGTAGAAGAGAAGAGCACTGATCATTTGCAACCTCAAACCCCAGTCAGGTTCCCACTGGGTCTGTGAAGAGAGAGGGAATTCAGGTGTGGGAGAAAGAGGAAATCACAGTAAAGTCCAAAAGCACAGAGCAGGAAGAAATAGGTAAGAGATCCCTTGAAATGAGGAATGCAAGATGACAACAGCCCTTCTCCCCTGCTCTGAATACAGGGTTTGAATTTGGGATGAAGAAACTTTACCTGGTTACAAAGGAACCCCCAAGTCCACCCTAATCCCCAGAATGAGAGGGCAGAGTAATATAAAGAAGTGCCAGTGCAGACCAGAAAAGCCATCAGACATGAACCCCCTTGTTTTACAAATAAAAGAGGCCAGCAGTCACTGACAGTCCTAGGACTACTTTCTATTCCCAGGTCATCTCCCTTTCCACAAGTTGAGGCTGGTAGGCAGAGTTCTGGGGAGCTGAAGCCTTTCAAATGGAGCACCCTTTCTTAGAGTATACTCTCAGATAAGCTAGGCCAGTGGCTGTCAACTGATAATTGCCCCCCCCCCACCGCCACCCCAGGAAATATCTGGCAATTCCTGGGGACATTTTTGGTCACCACAACTGGTAGAGGGGGTATTAATAGTGTCTCATGGGTACAAGTCAGTGAGGCTGCTAAACCATCCTACAATGCCCAGCACAGGTCCATACAACAAATTACCCAGCTCAAAATACAAGTGATGCTGAGATTGAGACTCCCTGTCTTATGGGCAAGCTAGAGGATCTCATGTTAAGGTCTCTTTCCTTTAGAAGCTTTTCTGGATGGAATCAGTTCAGTCTGACATCTCAGGATTTAGGATTATTGAAATAGGCAGGGTTCTTTAAGAGTGGAAGGGGTAGAACTGCAAGTTTTAACAGTAATTCTTTGACTTTCAAACATATGCCATTTTATTCAAATTGGCAGTTATGCTCTGAAGCCATGAGGTCAGACCCTACAAATTAAGAGTTAGATAGAGAAAGGGAACATTCTGTAACAGAACATAGGGCTAGCAACTTGAGTATCTTAAGGACCAGAGAAAAGACTGAAATCCAGCTCAAGTTCAACACCCAGCTACAGCAGGACAGAGGTGGAGTTGTTGGGTATCCTAGCAGAACTCTGCCTTTACCTAACTGGTCCTCCTAGAAGAGCATGGGGAAGGGTTTTGTTTTGTTTTCTAATGGGCTTAAAGGTTCTGCAAATCAGTCTAAAGAGGCTCATGTTTTCTAATTGTCCCTAAAATCAAGGTTGGGGGAGGGGTATGATCATGGACTTCTCTTTTGAAATGTGAAAGGCACCAAGAACTAAAATTTCTCTTAAAACTCATCCTTTGACCCTCCCATTTCCCTAATGGGATGTTTGAAGTGAGGGGTAGTGCCAGATGCAACCCTCACCTGAAGATAGGGCTGTGTCCCCCAATCCGGGCCTTGGACCACGCAAGGGGAGAAGGCACTGCCAGGTAGTCCATACCAGCTACCTCCTTCCGGGAACCACCTGAAGGAGCCACAGCCTCCTCTGCTCCCGAAGGCAGCTTTCCATTGCACGAAGCAGTCTCCTCGGACCGAGGCAGAGCCACTGCCTGCTCGCTTGAAGTCCTTCGGGTCTTCTGAGGGATGCTCTCTGATGTTGGGGCCCCCACGTAGTCAAAGGGGCCAGGGGAGCCAGGGTCCCGTGCCAGAGGCAATGGGGGAGGAGGAGGTGGCTCAGGCCCCTCTTCCCCCAGACTGCCACGGCGGGATAGGGCTGGAGAAGCCGATGATGGGGTTCCGGAGCTGGAATAGCGCCGCTTGCCACAGGGAGAAGCAGGACGAGGGGAGGCTGGGGTGGGCCCAGGAGCGCTGAGGAGTAGCCAGCTGTCCTCAGGACCCCGCCCTCCGGGGCTAGGACCGTACAGGCTCCAGGGATCCTCAGGGGTCCATGGCCTAGGGGAAGCCCTGGGCGAGGGCAGTGGCGAGCCCAGGCCAAAGCGGGAAGCGGCCTCATTTAGCTCAGACTCCACCTCATCGCAGGCGGCATACAGGGCTGCCTCATCCGAGGCGTCGGAGAAGAAGCTCCACGAGGACAAACTGCTGCTGCCTGGGCTGGGGCTGAAGAAGGCCCCTCCACCCTGGCCTCCGGCCTCTCGGTAGCCCCCAAAGCCTTCCGGCGGGGGATAATCTCTGGGAGAACTGTCCCCCCAGGCATCAGGATTGTCTTCTAGTGGGGCCGGTGGCTCAGGAGTGGGAGAGATGGAGGTGATGCGAATGCTGGGACACTCAAGAACACGGCCACCCCCAGTACCCCCAGCACTCCCTCCTGGCCCTCCCAGCCTCACCGACCGGGCAGGCTGGCTCTCCCAGGTGCCAGGTGAAGGAGCCGGACGGGGCGGTGGTGAGTGCATGCCAGGCCGAGGGGGTGGAGGTCGGGGAATGCCAATAGGGGCAGCGCCATAGGGAGGGGGCTCCCCCAGGGCCAAACGGCAGCATGGTGGGGCATCCTCGGAGTCCAGTTCTGTCAAAATAGGAAGAGGGTAGAGAGAGATGGGGAGAAGCTGGTGAGATGTTTAGGTTCTTCCAGTGGTCAGTCTCTAAATCCTGCTATGTACCCCCCTCCTCAGCTACGAGGGGTCTTTACGGAGCCCTTCAGAGCCACAAGACAAAAGCAAACTTGGACGTCAGAAGATGGAAAAGACAGGTAGGTGTGCCAGGCCTTTTCCCACTCACAGAACCTCTCACTCTTGGGATGCTGGCCCTGGGACCTAGGGTACCAGAGGGGGCGGGTCTTAAGGTGAGGGAAGTGGGTTGAGAGGGGCCGGAGCAGGGCCTGGAGGCGTGTTTAGCGAGCCTATGGGCTGGGCTGGGGGCGACTCACACATGAACCCAATTAGCAGCGGTTCCCAAACCCCCAAACGGAGCTGGCAGAAGCCCCAGTTGCCATCGCAACTGTGGCCTGGGCGGGGTGAGGGGGATGGCTGTGGTGACGAGGGGGAGGTGACTCCCTCGCTCCCCCCAACCTGGGGGCGGGGGTGCAGCCAAGGGGGTGATGCGTGCCGGGCCCAGCCGGGAAGGGGGGGCAGCGGGCAGCGCGGGTTTCGTGCGAGCGGCGGCCGCCGCCCCCGGCTGGGTCCCCGCCATCTGCCTCTCATTGCGGCCAGACGGGGGAGGGGGAGGGGCGCCCTGGCGCGGCCTGAGAGCTCCCCCAGCCAGGTGCGTCCCGTCTGTAGGACCAGGTTCAGTCCGAAAAGCGCAAACTCCAAAGGCAAATCTCCCCTTCCCCTGACTGCGTCCGAGGTTCTCGGGGCCGCCATTCCCGCCCGTCTCCCCATCCCAGTGACAGTCAGCCCAGCCGGGAGGCGGCGCGCAGCCAACGGCACCCCCACCCCCACCCCAGTCACGACCTAAAAAGGAGAAAGTGGTGTCCGGGCCCCCAGCCTCACTTTAGCAGACTAGCAAGCCCCCCGACTCCCCTCAACCTCTAACCCCTCACCCCCCCACCCCAGGCTCGCTGCCTTAAATTCTCCAGACTCAAAAATCCCGGGGCCTTTCACTCACTGACCCCAAGACCCCTTCCCAGCCCCGCACTAACCTTCCCCCGACCCCCCCGCGCCCAGCGGGGGGGCCTCCTTTTCCTCCCCGAACACCAGCTTAAATTCCAGCTCCTCATCCTCGCAGCTCGCTGCCCCCATGGATCCGGACAGAGCCCCCAGGTCCCGGCCTGGGTGGGAGGGGGGAGCTCAGGAGGCTGCTGTATCTTCACGCGAGTGGCTCCCTCCCTCCCTTTTTCTGAGACGCCCCCTCCTCCGTCTCTGCCGCCTCCCTCCGGACGCCCCCTCGTTATTATAGAAACTTTTCCAAACTTTTTTCCCCCAAACTTCTTCAAAGCGGCCCCCCCAGCCTATCCCTGATTGGCTACTCGGGATGCTCCGGCCCCTCCTACAGGGATGAGATGGGAAAACCACGCGCCCCTCGTCCTCCCCCACCTCCCTCCCTCTTTCCTCTCTCCAGTCCCTCCCCCTCAATTAAAAAAAAAAAAAACTGAATTGGGAAACGATCCCTCCAAGAGTGTTACGACCCTAAAGATGCCTATTGGCCAGGAGTTGTGACAATCATTTCCCGCAGGGCGCCCAGTCCCCACCCCTCTAGGTCTCTTTTCGGGGTTGTGGGTCCGAGCGTCTTAAAGGGGACACATCCTGGGGCCCTAATGTAGAAGGCCCAGGGTACACAAATTCCCTAAGTTCTTAAAACTTGTGTAGCCAGCACATAGCAAGGAAGGACTACCTCTCCTCCCCTTTCCCTCTTAACTTGGGGTCAGGCGGGATGTGGGGTAAAGAGTGGTTCCAAGTTGCTTTGAAGAAGAAAAGGACTTTCCTCCCAAGTCTCTGGCTGAGGCCACTTTGCCTGGACCTTATAGAAACCTTTGCCCTCCTGAATCAGCAGCTCCACGCACCATCCCTCCCCATTCCCGGAGGTGAAGAACTTCTAGCAGAATTGGATGTCTCTCAGAGAAGTCCGAGCTCAAGAGGCTTGGAGATCTAGTCAAAGACCCACAACCCCTGATGGGCGTAGATCCAGGCCGGGCTTTGCAGCTACCCTAGTCCCAGTCACCCAGAGGGGTCATTAATTAGCCTCCAAGGGAAGTTGGCTCCCTCCTCTCTAGAACTGTAGTCTGGAATGAATCTTTGAATCGATGGCATCCCGCTCCGGCTCTCCTAAAAATCCTAGCCAGGTTTACTAGAGACCGGGGGCCTCGAAACCCAGTGGGCCTCTGGACTGGACACCTGTCACCTGGCTAGGGAGAGAAAGGAAGACCCGGACTGGACTTTCCAGGAAGGACAGGCATGAAGTGGCAAGGGTTGTGTGAAAGTTGAGTTGGGAGATTCGTGACTCGGACGAGTCAGCGGAGAGGCATCGGAGTGCACGTACCATTTCCCACCCCCATGCATGCCACATGGTTCAAACTTCGAGAGGCCGGAGCGATGTCAAATCTCTAAATCCCTTGGGCTCCGGGGCGCCCCCCCCCCCCCCCTCATAGCAACCCCAAACCAGCGCCTGGAGGGTTAAGCGACCGCCCTCGGGTCAGACGTTTACAAACACTGGGAGCCGGGCGGGGACCGCGCCCGTTACTCTAATGAGAAACAGGCTCGGAGGGGCTGGAGGAAGGGGGAGCTGGCCGGGCGGGCCTGAGCTCCACTGCGGCGGAGGCGGCTCCCCTCCCTCCCTTCAGTGCTCCTTCGGACCCGCCCAGGGGACCCCCCCCCCGGCCCCCGGGGACCCCAATGACGTGCGGAGCTGCCCCGGCTGCGAGCCCAGGGCCGCGACGCAGGAGGGGCGGGAGAAGAGGCCAGGCAGGCGGGGAGAGAAGAATGTTCCGAAGCCAAGCGGGGAAGCGGCCTGGTTTGATTTTTCTCCACCACCCCCCCTCCCCGCCTTTTCTGTTGGTCTTCTCAGGTTACATTTCCCTTCCAGCTTCAACGCGGAAATAAAGGAGAGACCTACGGGGAAGGAGCGTGGGGAACACCTCGAGACCCTTTACCAACCTGCGCCTAAGCGGGGGGCAGAGGAGGTGGGCGACTGAGGCCAGAAGATAATGGGTAGAGACCCAAGACTCAGACCCTCCCTGCTCCCCTTCAACCCCCGCCCCCAGCGCAGCACAAGCAGACGCGCACATTCTTTTCAAATGTCATATTTCCTTTGATCCTGGGCAGCGTTTCTCCATGTGTCTGGCTCAGCTCCTGCCCAGCCAACCTCCCCCCTCAGCGCCCGCGCCTTGTTTTCCTGGAGAGCCCGCCCCCTCCTCCTAGCATCTGGAAGGCCCCGAGGGCTGGCGTCCGCCCTCATTCCCCTGGTGACTCAATTTCCCCTCTGCGGTGTTGGGGGATGTGACGGGGGCGGTCAGAGGGAAGAGTTGTTTAGCCCGAGTGTGGTACGAAGGAGCCCAGAGACTGCTCAGAGTGCCAAGCTTCTTTTGGTGCAAGGCGCGGGGCGCCCCCAGACTCTGAAAAGCCTCCAATCACTCTTGCTTTCGGCAGAGGGATGGAACATATGACTTCTGAAATGTCTCAGTTGGCCTTGGAGCCAGGGGGAGAACTGGTAGTTTTAGATTTAGGTTGTTCTACACTCCTGCCCCCTGGCGACCACACAGACCCAGCCACCTTTCCTCCCACCTCGAGGTTGCTCTGGTCGCCTGACCTTGGTTTTAGCTTGCTGCCCCCTACCGCGTACACCTGGGCACTGTTAGCTTTTCATACCGTGGCTTATGGCGCGCTTTGCCTTCTGCTGTCTGTCAAGCATGGTTCAGTGGCTTTGGAGGCGGATTTTATCTTTTTTTTAATCACACAAGATACATTCTCTTTTTAAAGACTCCAGCCATACAAAAATATGTTGTAAACTGAGATAGTCCACCCTTTTGTGTATATTTACTAATGTGTATGTACACTCATGCTCTTTTTATTGAAGCAGGCCAGAGACCCCCACCCAGAAGACCCTTACTATAATTAAATAAAAACCCCCACCATATTGTGGCATGTAAGTTCTTCTTATCAGAGAGCTTTTTTTCACAGGACATCAGCTATCAGCAAAAATCTGCAGAAGATATTGTGGTTTGTAGCTTCCTCTTTGCTTATAAATGCCAGGTTTGCAGAAAAACATCTGTGAAACCCCTGTCTGTCCAGAGTATGGAACAAACGCACTTGTCATATGAACCTCTTAGTCCCTCCCTGCCACTGGATATAAAGTTCAAAAAATTTCTATACTTATTGTTCAGAGGAAGAATTCTTAGGGCAAGAGCCACCTCTGAACCCTGCAGTCAATAAACTTGCTTCCTGAAAATTCCTCGAGTGTCCAGCCTCTTCTGTCCTACTTCATTATAAGAATGAAATAATGCGAAAATGCGTGGGCTCTCTCTCATCCAGCAAGGAGGTCCATGGAACAGGGTAGAGGAAAGTGTGGCTGCAGAGTCACTAATCAAGACCTCCGGAGACCAAGCAGGAAGCAGGTCTGATTTTATTGCGCAGTTACCATGTATATATAGGTAAGCAGATTACAGGCAGCCACCAATACAATTTCTGGCCAACTGTGCTTGTAGCAACCAATCGAGGAGTGGGCCGTGGAGCAAGAATGGGCACTGCAACACTCGGCCTCATACCCAGGGCTGTGCCTACTGGGTAAGCAGTTTGTGGCTCACACGCCTAGCACAGGGGAGTGGTTTGCCACTTAGACACCGTTAACATATGCCATGTATGCAGTACTCCATGCATTTGTCCCCACACTAAAATCCTGATTTGTTTTCCCCCCTCAATTAATGAATGTTTTGTAGATCTCCTGCTAGTATAGATGCATCTGAAAATGGTGACCAAAGTGCCACTTTTCCTATTAATAAAATAAAGTGGCTTTCACAAATCAAATTAGTAGCATTTAGGTCTGGAACCCAAGCCTCCTAAGTCCTTTTCCAATGCTAATTAACTACCCCACATTTTACATAGAAATCTGTCATAGGCTTGGTCTACCTACAAAAATGAGCCTGAGACAAGATCAAGATGCAGGCAGTTTATGGTGGAAATCAATCACAAAGAACAGAAATGGAGAGCTATAAAGAGTGAAACTGGAAAATACGTAAAGCCTACTCAAAGGTGTTTGTTGAACTGGTGACCACTCTGAACACCTGGAAGATAATTTCATTGTGGTTTCTGTGGAACCATATAGAATGTGAAGAGACAGAGAAGAGGAATACTTATTCTCTGGTTCCCAACATCCCACCCCACCCCCCAGTGAAAAGTTGTGAATTCCCTTGCTCTTCCAGGTTTACACAAGTGTCAGCATGATAGGTTTCCCACAAGGCTACAGCAAAGAAGCCCTTGGGCAAAACACAAAAGATAGAAACTGCAGGTGGAACCAAGTACTATGAAGTGACAGCTGCAAACAGTTGGTTACCACAGCAATAGCTAGAGCAAAAAGATGAATGGAATGTACATGAGGCAAGGTCCTATACAAGATCATGCATTCAAATTCATATTAACCTTTGTATTCAGAGACAACTCTAAGCATTGAATACATGTATTTATAACCCAAGCTCCCCCAAATAGCTACTTTTTTAATCAGGCTGGATACACACACACACACACATATGTGTATGTATGTTTCACCCTTGACGTTTCCTTCTTCCTTGACCTCTAACTTTAGAAACCTATCAGTTTTATTCCTTCAGTATGTATATTCTTCATTTCCATTGGTATTATTGCCATAGTTCAGACCAGATGCTGTGTTGCACACCCATCAACTCAGTAGAATTGAAAGTTCGAGGCCATCTTCAGCAATTTAGGGAGGCTCTAAGTAATTTAGGAATATTCTATCTCAAAATAAGAAAAATTAAAAAGACTGGGGATGTAGATCAGTGTAAAGCATCCCTACATATAAAATTCCCAATTAAAAAAAATTTATATGTGTGTGTGTGTATTACCATTGGCATGCCCACCATGTGGAGGGCAGTCTATTTATAGTTCACCAATTCAGCTGTTAATCTCATCCAAAAATACCTTCTAAATTGATATGCTAAATTAACCATTAGAAGGTTCTTCTCCCACACAACAGGAGCTTGCTCACCTCCTCAGCCACACTATTACAAACAGCCAGGAAGTACAGAGAGTTAGTGCTCCCAGGTTTAATAATTACCCAATGAGTACATACTTTGGTGGATATATGTTCCATTCCAGCCTCCCACCTTTTGTGTGGACAATTCTTGGAGGCTTTCTCTAAATGGAGCTTCTACTTCAGTGGAGCCTCCATTGACTACAACAGCAATCTCAATAAAACCTTTGTATCAGCTGTTCCTCCTTCCCTATGTCACTCTCTGTTCCCTCCCTCTTGCTTACTGGGATCCCCTTCCAGAGCATTATCTGCATTTAAGCCCATGTTTAGATTCTTTGGAAA